CAGGCAGAAGGACCGAAGTACACTGCTGAGGGGAGCAGCGGGCGGCAGGAGAGGTCTGCGTGCCATGTGGGACCCTCCTCCGGTGGCCGGGGAGCAGCCGGGGATTGAACTGGCACTGCGGAGGCTGCAGGCAGCTTCGGAACCCAGCGCTCAACCGCTGCGCCACTGAGGAGGCCCGAGAAATGAGGTTTTTCCCTAGTATCATTTGAAACAACTAGGTAAGGTCGCAGTAACTAAGTGCATTCCCCCTACCCCTTTTTTTTTGGTGTATGCCGAGGTGCAAGTAATTCCTGACTGATAATGGCTAAATAATAATGACTAGTTATGTTTCCCGAACTAAATTCCTCTTGATAAAAGGCAGAGAGCAACTACAGAAGTGGTTTGCTGTAAAAAAGTTCCTGCCTTCACGGTTCCTCTAAGTATCAAAGCAATGATCAACACTCTTTTCTTACCCTGTCAACCTCATCCCTCTGAATTTCAAATTCAGAAAAGTGCCAAGAGGGATAAGAAAAATGGAGAAACTGCATTTGAATCCTGACTTATGCACATGTTCTTTGGTCTTAAATCAGCTAGACATTTCTTGAAGGATAGCTGCGGTAGTAAAGGTAAATGAGAGAACAGAGAAGCTTCATCATTTAGCTCATAAACGGCTGTGGACGCTCCCACCCGAATTCATATACTGAAGACCTAACACCCAGTGTGATGTTATCTGGACACCCGGACTTCAGGTAACTGAGTCATCTGTCATTAAAACAGGTGAGTGCTGTGAACAGCATTCAGCACTTAGTCCTGAAAGCCCCAGCCAGCAGAGTCCTGAAGCCTCAAAAGGAGTTCCCGAGTGAATCGGGGAAGGGGCAGTGCCCTGTGCAGAGTGGGTGCAGGCTGTAGATTTAGCTGGACCTGACAGGGAGGCAGAAATGATCTAATGGATCATTTCATTAGAAAAAATGACAGCAATGTGAAGGATGGACTGAAGGGAGATGAGAATTTAGATTCACTATTAGCAACTTCAGATGCTAAATGCATTTGGGAGCCAGTATCTTGGAGACAGGGAATGGGCTGCAGCCCCGCCTCTTCCCTGTCACACCCTGATGAAAGCTCTCAACAGCCTCCTTTATTTACAGGGGCCACAGCAGTGAGTCAAAATGGCATTTCACCAGACAATATGTAAAATAGTCCCTTTATCAATTAGATGACTTTCTCCCCTCGAGTTTTAGTTCTACGGCAACTGCTTCCTCACCTATCTGTTCATCAGCCAACCTCAACCGTTCCTAGACACAGACACCTTAAAATTGAACATTAAAACCAACGGCAGAGCTGCTAATATCACATTAGCAGAGCAGAAAGGCCCAGCTATGAAGACAAGTGGGTATCAACATAGAGAAAAAGCACAGCATCCAGCTTGGGGGCAGGCATGACTATTCCAATAGAAATGACTCGCACACTGCATTTACCAAGGCAGTTCATACTCCGCAGGGAATTTTGCTTGATTTGAGAAAAATATCTTAAAATGCTTTGCAGTCAAACTATGCAAAAAATTAACTTATCTGGAACCCCTCTTGACAAATCAGCGAGTGAAGGAATGCTCTGCCTATAGTTACCAGATGAAGCTGCCACAAGTCAAGGCAGCGTGTCAAGGTAGTACCCACAAACAGACTGATAAGCCAATGTGCCACACCGGGAAGCACCAGGATGAGAAATTAGCCAACCAAAGAGAAGACCAAATACCATGGACTTAAAAAAAACTTTATTCCAAACAGAATTACCAAATGCATGTTAACTCTGAAACATAATATTTCATTGAAACTCAGTCACAAAACTCAAATATCAAACAAAAACAGCTTCGTGCGCTTACCCACTTTCAATGAGGAATCTTGAAAAGAGGAAACATGTAGGACCCGCCCCCCTCCTCCCCAATATACACAATTTGGGAACCATTTAGGTAAGCAAATATTTAATATTAAGCAAAAAAGAGCATTAAAAACAAAACTCCTCAAATGTAGGGAGAAAGCCTATTCAAGTCTTTGATATGCATATATTTGCACAATGAGAAAACAAATATTTTCATTGAAAAGAAACCAAGTCTGAGTTCCTAACCTCTCTTCAAATGCAGTCTCCTGTCCAGCCTTCGATCTGACAGCACAGCACGCCCCTGGCACCGCAGTCCTTCATTGACACCAAGCCATCTCAAACGTCCTATTTGCCACCTATTATTTTCCTTGTTGGAGTCGGAATTTCAGGTCTCCAAAAATGATTATATATACACAATTCTGTTTTATTGCACAGTTCACAATATATAGCAGATGTTATATAACCAACCATAAGGTAAGATGAATGTTGAGACGATCCAACTGTCTCCAACCACGACTGAGACAAATAAAAAATACAAACTTGCCAAGCATGGCAAGGCTGTGTTTGTTTTGTGGGTGCAGTCCTGAGGGCTCATACCACCATGTGTGAAACAGAGTCCGTAACATATTTCTGGTGGCATTAGACAGGAAGTATAGGAGGCAAGAATGGAAATGCCCCACATCCATCAGCAGTCTGTGCCACATATGCACCAGAAAGGCCACTATTAAAGCTTTTCAAATAAAATGATTTAATCATATTTGCCTTTTCAAAATTTTTACCATGCTAGTTTCATCCTAAAGATAAAGACAGTTAGAATGTCTTACTTAACACATTTTGAACTTATTTTAAAGTTTAGACAAAGCCATTGGCTATCACAGTTCTTTTGAATTTTTCTGTAAAATTAAGAACTCTATAGGACAACATAAAGCCACCCCTGATAACATCTGTAGTTTGGTCTTCAAAAGCTGTAAAAGTGACAAAGAAACCCAAAAATGTTAAACCATTTAAAATATTTATTGTTTTTAAATGCCACATATTTGAGACAGCAGAAACCAAACCACCCTCCTTCAAATTCTCACATCACGTATCTCACAAAAGTGCTTTAGAAGTTAGACTTCTAGTATCTGTATGGAGTGTATAGACAGAGGGAAGCTCTGCAGAGGCCCAGGAGTCCGTTCCCAAGGCAGGGCATAACCCCAGCCAAACTCACCTGCCTTGTGCTGAGCACCCAGACATGCCCAGGAGTGTTCACGGACCCACATGCAAGTGAATGAGGAAGCACCACAGCGCCTTAGTCATTCATTTCTGAAACTTAACCTGCTTCAAATCCTGACTCCATATTCAGTAGGCCCAAGGATGCTACTCACATTTATTTGGTGTAGTTTTCTTGTTTTCTGTAATCATTAGATTTGCACCTTGGCTTCTAAAGTATTGTTCCCAACACTCCATTGCCAGGCAGGCCTGTTATAAAGCTACTGAGTTTCATCACTGCCTCACAAATGCTTACTGCTTCCTGATCCTTTACACTTGGAAGAAGGACATTCATTTTATTTGACCAGCCATACTGCACTTAGAGGTAAACATCTTTTTTTGGACTATCTGCTCAGAAACTGAGTAAACCACCAGTTGAGCCCCTGATTTTATTTTGGTCAGTATGTGCATATGTTTATATGCAATTACCCAGAAGGATGAAAAATTGATAATAAGAACCCTAACCACTCTGCCATGTCAGATGCTGGAAAGCAATCTTGATATCATAGTCACATGTGGATGTGTAAAGATTGATAAACCATCTTTTCAGGATGTTTCATATTTTACTACTCCATTGGTGTATGAGCCATTTTGCCTTATTTATCTGGAGAAATTATTTTAAAATCAGATTACTTGGACAAGGCTTTGTTTGTTAGCTAAGGGATGAGTATGATAGCTACTACACCCAATTTCTACAATTTAAAATATTAACCCTTCAAATACCTTTAGATCTTATCCTCTCAGCATATCCTGAGAGGACATGATCTATCTTATCATTTTAATAGAAAAATGGGTTCCCAAAATCCTAATAGATGCCTCTATTTCCAAGAGTAAAGTTAAAAAGCTGACAGCTAACACCATGGGATAAAAGCCTTTGAGTCTGCCCCTCCCCCTCCGTTACATTTACAAACCAGAAAACAAAAATCTGGGATTCTATTAATAGACTTCCGAATCAAGGTTTTATGGCAGTGTGTCTGCTTTAAAAGGAGAATTTCAAGACAACAGGATACTTGATTATGAAGAACTATTATGCAGAGGGAAAAAAAACCCCCGAAGTTCTTTGCTAAGTTGGCAATAACAATTCAAAGTGAGTCTAAAACAAAGTTGATCTATATGCAATACAGAACTTAACAAGATGAAACATCAATAACGAAAACTTAAGTCTCCCCATCTTTTTGGCAATAAATGAAATTAATATTTTGGGAAGGTTTAAGGTCACATTCAGAACTAAACAGAAAACCTTCCAGCCTAGAAAGTAAAGGGAGAGCTTTCATTAGCTGCTTGAGTCCACCTCATCTAAACAGAAACAATCTGGGAAATGGCCATGCCAAGAGGTGCTTAGTTTCAAACAAATACAAGCAATTTATCGTGAGACGCCTATACCTAGGCAAGCTGTTTTTCTCCTGTGTTCTGCTCTTCTCTTCTACCATGCGTATGTTTAACAAAGACTACCCTTCGCAACTCTTCCTAAGAGCAAAGAAGCAAGAAATGGAGTCACAGAAGTAAGCCTGAGAATTCACAGGGCCCTAAGAGTCTTTTCTCTGGCTGGTCATGTTTCTGATGAGCAGGGGGAGAGAGGGGTATGGAGGAAGGATTTTATCCTGGCTGTTAGTTTCCTTGTCAAAGGTTACCAGATAGACTGCTATTAACCAGGCAATTAGCCTAAAGTTCTCAGACGACTTAAGGGAAAAAAAACCCAAAACCAGAATCCTTAAATTTTCCTATTGAAACCTTTTATTCTGAATCTGTTGGTGCTTAAGGAAAACAGCTTTGCCCATAATTCACTGTGCCCTAAATTTATGACACCAACATGTGTTTGGCCAATTAGGAACGAGGTCAAACTGCATTCTTCTGAGAAGGCCTATTCAGTTGATAAATGGCACTTAACTGATGATTTCTTTCATATAACCTTTAACAAGAACTCATAAGTCGCATTGATTATGCCCCAAGAGATGAGGGATCGGTGGTAATTCAGATGGGCACCTCTGAAAAGATTTGTCAGTTTCTTGTCCCGTTCTAGCCAGATTTTTCTGAAGACCTTGGGGAAAGACTGAAATTCCCCACCAATCTGAGACTGCATGCGAGCTTTTACAACGTTAATTGGAAAAAACAAGATTCCCAACATGGCACCCAACAGACCTCCGCAGATAAAATCATTGACCAAATGAGCGCTGTGAGTCGTTGCAGTAGGCAGGTGCTCCTTAATGGGACCTCGAAGGCCAAAGAAAAAGACATTGCTGAATCCATTTCGAAAAAGAACGGGCACCAAGCCTCGATAATACTCTCTAATTCCATGGCATTTCAGTGCCTTGAAAGCCTGGTAAGTGTTTGTAAATTTGTCGTGATGCTTGTGGTCCTGAAGCAATGTTTGAACTCTCTCCAGCGGAGTGAAAACTGCTTCTGTAGTCCCTGCGAGCACTGCTGCCATGCTCCGGATTGCAAACTCTGGGCTATTGATATGCTTGCGGAGAAGACAAGATAAATCCTCATACAGACCAAACATAAGTGCCAGTGTAGTTGTCTTCTGCATTAGTGGCGGCAGGATTCCACGATACAAGTTTCGAAATCCATCCCTCTGCAACTGAAGTATTGCATCCCTGGTTTTGATTCCGTATAGCTGCTGCCGGAAGAGGACCTTCTGCATGGGATAGGTGAGTGCTACGTTGTTGAAAGCTGCACAGCAGCCACACAAGTAATGCTTCATTTCACCAACATGTGCAATATGAGGTGAAAGATCTTGTTTTGAAGATGTTAAGATTGATGGGGACCTCTTCTCATGAGCTTCTGAATCCATCATGTTGCTTAAGATCTTTCTTCTTCATGAAGAATTATTTTAACCTACAAATAATAAATGACAATCGGTAAACCTTTATAGATAGTGTTCAATACATGGAATTCTCCCCAATCCTTCCTCCAATTCCTGGACACTTACATTTTCCCTTTTAGAATAAATCAGTACTTCTTCAAAAGTGTTTTCAGATGACCCCTGAAAGTCCCTGAGATCATTTTAGGGATCCAGCAGGTCCTCCCTATTCCAAGCTATGTGAAGTTGCATTTTCTGCATGTACTTCAACCAAAACAGCTTATCACAACTGACCAAATACACAAGCAGATAAGAGGCTCCACCCTTCTTTTAAGGCAGACAGTAAAGAGATTTGCGAAACAGTAAAATACTCTTCTCAATTTTTTGGGAAAATAATTATATTTCATGAAAATGTGATTTGGAAATCTGTAATTGGCTCATCATTGTCATTTTATTTTTTCATTCGTTAATTTTTTAAAAATTTTTGCTTACATGATTGTAGTCTCCAGAGCTCTAGCGCACCATATCACCCATGAACCATCACCACATTCCCATGTGTTCACTGCCCCCCTGTTTTGCCCCCTGCCCCCTTCTTTGCTGCATGCTTCAGTTCTACAGTCAGTTTGCTAGTTTTGACTTTTTCTTAATCATTTGTTGCAGTTCTCTACATTCCACATATAAGTGACACGAGCCGGTATTTATCTTTTTCCTTCGGACTAATTTTGGCTAGCATAATCCCTTCCTGCTCCATCCATGTTGCTGCAAATGCCATGTTTGTCTTTTTTGTTGACTGAGTAATAGTCCATTGTGTAAATAAACCACAACTTTTTGTGGTTTATTTATTGTAGTCTATTTATTTGTAGTCTATTCTGGGGCATCTGAGTTGTTTCCATATCTTGGCTATTGAAAATAGTGCTGCAGTAACCATAGGAGTGACGGTTTCCTTTTGAATTACTGTTTTTGTGTCCTTTAAGTAGAATCCCAGCAACTGCTGGATCATATGGTAGATTCATCGTCATCATTTTAAAGAAAATAATTATTTTTAAATTTTTGTTCCAATTTTTACGGTTATGAATGTTAAATCCACACAAAGAAAGGTTCTTTGGGACCCACAGTAATTTTTAAGTGTAAAGGGATCCTGAGGTCAAAACATGTGAGAAGCAGTGTAGGAGTTCATGAATATTGCCTGCATCACAGAACAGCATTTACCATTATCCTTCTGAAACAGACTGAAAGTCCTTTAATGAGAAATAAAATAGCAAAGCATGAAGCACCCATTCTAGACCTTCTGCTAAAGTTCTAGAGATCCAAAGGCAAGGAACTTGCAATCCAATAGGACTCTGCCAAGGTAAACAACCACACCACAGTGGGATACTTTTTATTAGTATGTGCTGTGGGGACACAGGAAAGGACACCAAGCATGCACTTGGGGAAGTGGAGATTGGCCAAATGGTGTCAAGAAAGGCCTGCAGGTATGCACTATGCACTGTATTTTCACATATTTAATTCTCAGCTCCATAAATTAAATGCTATTTTCCCAGTTTTACAAAGGAAGAAACCAACACTCTCCTTTGTCCAAGGTACAATGAGTCAAATGTGGATTCGGCATAATGAAATAAAGTTTGCCTGACTCCAGGGTTCATGTTCCCTCTGTCATACCACAGATGCAATGACTTTTTGGGGGCTGCTACACCAGACCTTAATGAAGAGTCAAAGCTTAAAAATATAGGCTTAGCCTACTGAGTGAAGCTAAGACAAAGTTCTTATCCCTGGAAGACATAAAAAAAAGGCAAGATCACTCCTTGACAGTCATGTAAGTCTAATCCCACCTCACAAAGATCCAAATAGCACAATTCCTATGTCCCAGGGACCAGCCCCAGAAATCACTATATTTGGGGATTACATAGTAATTTGATTATATCTCAGATATGTCAGGCTAATATCTTAAAATTGATTTTCATTCTGAAACAGTAAAGGACCACATCTAACTACACAGCTCAACAAAAAATTACATAACCTAATTAGAAAATGAACAAAGGACTTAAGTATATTTCAAAAAAAAAAAAAGATAAACTAGTAGCCTAAAGCATGTAATCATCAGACAAATCAAAACCACAATGAGGGCCTCCCCGGTGGCGCAGCGGTTGAGCGCTGGGTTGCGAAGCTGCCCGCGGACTCTGCGGCGCCGGTTCGATCCCCGGCTGCTCCCCGGCCACCAGAGGAGGGTCCCACATGGCGCGCAGACCTCTCCTGCCGCCCGCTGCTCCCCTCAGCAGTGTACTTCGGTCCTTCTGCCTGCTCTGCTCCCCGCTCTGGATCTGGTGAATTCTCTCACCCTCCCGCGCTTCTGACTGTACCCAGTGCTTGTATAGAAAGAAAGACGGGAGGGAGGGAGGGAGAGAGGGAGAGAGAGAGAGAGAGAGAGAGAGAGAGAGAGAGAAAGAAAGAAAGAAAGCATGCCTCTATATTTAAAAAAAACAAAAAACAATGAGATTATTACTTATACCCATTAGGTTGGCTACTACAGGGTTGGGGGGGGGGAACCCAAAAAATAAGTTGGTGGGGATGCAGAGAAACTGGAACTGTTGGTGGAAATATAATGCAACCACTGTGGAAAGGAACATGGCAGTTCTTCAAAAAATTAAAAATCAGGGGCTCCCTGGTGGCACAAAGGGTTAAGACTCAAAGTTATAAAGCTATTGGTAGCCACCGCAGCATGAGTTTGATACCTAGCCAGGGAATTAACCCACATGGTTCAGCAGACCTCTCCTGTCTCGCCCACTGCTCCCCTCAGCAGGGTGTTTCAGTAGATCTGCCTGTTCTGCTCCCCACTGTCTCTGGTGAATCTTATAGCCCCCTCCCCCTACACCCCTGGCCCTCACCCCAGCTCTTGTATGCATAAATAAAATCTTTTTAAAAAAATTAAAAATCAAACTGTCATCTGAACTAGCAATCCCACTTCTAAGTATATAGCCAAAAAGAATTAAAAGCAGGGTCTTCAAGAGATATTCGAGGGCCTCCCCGGTGGCGCAGCGGTTGAGCGCTGGGTTGCGAAGCTGCCCGCGGCCTCTGCGGCGCCGGTTCGATCCCCGGCTGCTCCCTGGCCACTGGAGGAGGGTCCCACATGGCGCGCAGACCTTTCCTGCCGCCCGCTGCTCCCCTCAGCAGTGTGCTTCGGTCCTTCTGCCTGCTCTGCTCCCCGCTCTGGCTCTGGTGAATTCTCTCACCCTCCCGCGCTTCTGACTGTACCCAGTACTTGCATAAACAAAACAAACAAACAAACAAATAAATAAAAAAAAAAATGCCTCTATTAAAAAAAAAAAAAATCAAAAAAAAAAAAAACCGAAAGAGATATTCGAACACCCACATTCACAGCAGCACTAATCATAATAGCCAAGAGGGGGAAGCAGCCCAAATGTCCACCCATGGATGACTCCACAAACAAAATGGGGTATATGCATACAAGGGAATACTATACTTCCTTTAAAAGGAAAGGAATCCTGGGGCCTCCCTGGTGGCACAAGGGGTTAAGACAACCTATGAAGCTATCCACAGCCACAGCAGCACAAGTTCGATCCCCAGCCAGGGAACTACCCACATGGCGCAGCAGACCTCTCCTGACTGACCTGCTGCTCCCCTCGGTAGTGTATTTCTTTTTCTCCCCCCCCCCAAAGATTTATTTATTTATACAAGCACTGGGTACAATCAGAAGTGCGGGAGGGTGAGAGAATTCACCAGAGCCAGAGCAGAACAGGCAGAAGGACCAAAGTACACTGCTGAGGGGAGCAGCGGGCGACAGGAGAGGTCTGCACACCATGTGGGACCCTCCTCTGGTGGCCAGGGAGCAGCTGGGGATCGAACCGGTGCTACAGAGGCTGTGGGCAGCTTCGCAATCCAGCGCTCAACTGCTGCGCCACCGGGGAGGCCCTCGGTAGTGTATTTCAGTCAGTCTGCCTATTCTGTTTCCCACTCTGGCTCTGGTGAATCCTCTCACCCACCCACCGCCCCGCACACACACCCCTCCGGCCTGTACCCCAGTTCTTGTATGCATAAATAAATAAATAAATCTTTTTTTTTTTTTTAAAGCAAAGGAAAGGAATCCTGTTACATGCTACAATATAAATGAAACTTGAGGACATTATGCTAAGCTAAATAAGCCAGCTACAAAAGGACAAATACTGTATGATCCCATTCACATGAGGTTCCTAAATTAGTCAAATTCACAGAGAAAGTAAAAGAGTGATTGCCAGGGGGTAGGGAGAAAGTACAAAGGGAAACTGTTGTTGAATGGGTGTAGTTTCAGTTGTGCAAGACAAAGTTTCTGGAGAGCTGTATCATAACAATGAAAACATGCTTAACATTATCAAACTGTATACTAAAAGATGATTAAGATGATAAATTTCATGATGTGTTTTTTACTTTTTAAAAAAGATTACATGTAAGGGAACAGTGGTAAATGATTAAGAAAACAAAATAGATCAATCAGATGAACCACCTAGGTCATTTAACCCACGACCAAAACCCCGTAACCATACTAGTTCCTTCTCCATACCAGACATATGCGGCTGTAAAACGCCACACATTCAGGACAAAAGAGAAATGTAATCACATGAAGGCAAAGCTGAGCTGAGGCAAAGATTCAGAAAGCATCAGTTTTTTCTTTTTTTTTCTTTTTTTAGATTTAATTTTTATTTATACAAGCCGGGGGTACAGGCCAGGTACGCAGGAGGGTGAGAGGATTCACCAGAGACAGAGCAGGGAACAGAACAGGCAGACTGACGAAATACACCGCTGAGGGGAGCAGCGGGCGAGACAGGAGATGTCCGCTTGCCATGTGGGCTGCTCCGAGGCCAGCAGGGATGGAACCGGCACTGCAGAGACTGTGGACAGCTTCACAGCACTGCGCTCAACTGCCTACACCACCAGGGAGGCCCAGTTTTTTTGTTTTGTTTTGTTTTGTTTTGTTTTTAAAGAAGTGAGGTACAGGCCAGAGTCGCAGGTGGTAAGAAGATTCACCAAGAGAGAGCAGGAAGCA